TGATATTGTTAATGAACTTTGCTCTTAGGACTTGTAAATCAGCACAGACCTGCAGAGCTTTAGGAAGAGGCTTCTCAGTTTGCAGTTACTGAGCGGGATGCAAAAGTCCAGTTCACTGCAATCTTTTTGAAGAACAATGGACTGATCTAAATACTCCTTCCACCCCCCTGTTTTTTACTTTAGGGGTAGAAGATGAGAAGTGAAGCCTGTCATTGCATTGTAACTTGGTACCCACTGCCCAGACTGGGGCAGCACATCAGCTGGGAAGCAGAGCTTTGGTTTCAGTGGGGGGGTGGGTGTGAGATCACTGATTTCTGGAGGTCCATCCCGAGATGGCTGTGGCTTCAAGGCACAAGCCAGCACTGCTACAGTGTCTGTACTTCATGACCTTGTTTTTCCAGCTGCTGGCTACCAGGAAGGATATTGAGGTCCTGGAGCAGATCCAGAGGAGAGCAACGAGGCTGGTGAAGGGACTGGAGCACAAGTGCTGTGAGGAGAGGCTGAGGGAGCTGGGGCTGTTCAGCCTGGAGAAGAGGAGGCTCAGGGGAGACCTCCTCACTCTCTGCAACTCCCTGACAGGAGGGGGGAGCCAGGTGGGGGTTGGTCTCTTTTCCCAGGCAACTCTCAGCAAGACAAGAGGGCTCAGGGTCTTCAGCTGTGCCAGGGGAGGTTTAGGTTGGATATTAGAAAGAATTTCTTTCCAGAGAGGGTGATCAGCCATTGGAATGGGCTGCCCAGGGAAGTGGTGGATTCTCCGTCCCTGGAGGTTTTTAAGAAGAGACTGGATGTGGCATCAGTGCCATGGGCTGGGAACCACAGCGGGGTTGGATCAAGGGTTCGACTTGATGATCTTGGAGGTCCCTTCCAACCCAGCTGATTCTATGATTCTATGATTCTGTGATTCTATGATCCTGGGAGTGGGGATGCTGAGTTAAATGAAGGACCTTGTACAGGGTGCTCAAACCTGGCCCAGGTCTGGATTTGTTAAGCAGAACTCTGGAGGAGCTCCATGCTCTTGATGCTCCTGATGCTACTGCCAGGAGCAGGATCAAAGTGAGTGGTGTCAGCAGGGCAGCTCTGTCCCTCCCCTGGATGGCAGCAGGAACTGATGGGGCTGTGTGTGCAGGGAACTCCTTTCCTCTGCAAGAGCCTCGCTCCAGATGCCGTGGTGGGGCCACTCTTTGTTCCAGGCAGAAAGCTGTTGTAGGACCCACTTCCTGGAGACAGGGAGGAAGGAAATCCTAAGGAAGGAAGATTAACAACCCTCTGAGTCATGATCTAAAGCTCAGCCTGCCTCCAGGCAGCACGTGTCATGCTCACCATGAGTGGGGTTTAGGGCACAGCGAGAACAGATGCTCCAGACTCGAGTACTGGGAAGAAATTGTTCATAGGTTTTCAACTAGTATTCTAGAACTTGGTGCCTAGACTGTGTTTAAAGGTGGACATCTGGGGGAACATATAATGTTGTGGGTTATTTAAGGAATGTTAACCATGAGCACAGGTCAGAGCATAAGCCAAGATACCAAAGGCTGTACTGCTGCTCGTGCATCGTGTCAGTTTGGTGGAGCAGCAGAGTTGGTGGCTTTGGCCAACCCCTGAGATTCCAAAAGCAAACCCAAAAGGGGGCTGGGGTCAGCCAGGAGGCCACTATCAGACTAAGAATACTTTGCAAACTTTTTATGACTTGACTTCATCTTGTGGGTACAAAAATCCTTTGTTTGAAAGAGGTGAGGAAGAGTCAGGAATACTCAGGAATAACTTCTGGCTTGAGCTGCACTGTGAGGAGCTTTCAGAAGAGGAAAATGCCCTTTCCACTTCTCCCTGACTGATGTTCCATCCTTGACCCGTGTCACAGTCCCTTCTAGGCTAAATGACCTTCACATGTTTGATATCATAAAAGGAGATTTGAGTGTTTCACTCACGCCCATTAATAAAAGGCTTAGTGCAGTTATTTACTGAATTTGGTAAGGAGATGAGTTCTTATAAGAGTGAAAATGGCCTATCTGACATTTTCTTGTGTAAGAAATATAGGATTTCTTGACAAAAGTTTTAAGATTATCAGTAAAAGGATGCCAGTGGGGCTTTGACACTGGTTTGCCCTTTGCTCTCCCCATGCAAATTCTGACACATTCATCCTTCAAAGAAATCACAGAAGAGACAAAATTGTCACAATTTGGGATGAAATCAATACCCAGGTGAAATCAATGCAAATTTTGGAAAAAAAGGGGCAGCAAAACATCAAATGAAGGTAAAAACTCTTTGCTAAATTTGGCCTCAGACCCCTGCAAAAAGCTCGATAACTTAATACAGAGATGTTCTGGTTTGTGGCTTCTCTCCAGTCTTTCATGGTCATTTGAAAGTTAAAACAGATCCTCTTCCTCCAGACAGTCTAGTACAGAGAAAGCAGCTTGTCACAAAACATAGTTAAGAATGTTTAAATAAAAATATGTAGAATAAAGAAGGAACTATTCACGATGCATCAGTCCCCTGACAGGCTGTGAAGTTATTCCACCCTTCAACACAAGTGCTACAACATAATGGAATCCCTACTGAGTGTTTTCATGCCTACCAGAACATAAAAAAAAAATAAAAAAAAAAGCATAACAAAATGCCCAGTGTGCCCCTGACTATGAGCTTGGATGAGTAAGGAGGCCAAGAGAAAACAGTGGCACTGTGGGAAATATTTGCGGCAAGGGAAGGAAACAATAACTGAAAGTGATAAAAATGGATGATTCCCCCACAACCACCGGCCAGGGCAGGGCTTTGTGGCCCTGCAAGGGAGGGCAATCTGCAGGCACAGCATCAGTGCAGACCAGAAAGAATTTTAAAAGCCAGATTCAGACTTTAAAAAGGCCTCCAGTTGGGAGAGGAGGCTGGTTTTTTGCTTACAAAAAGGGCCATTCCACTTATGAGTGAGATTATATGCGAGATACTCGGAATGCACCATTTTAATCTGTTCTTTTTGGCCTCTAATTTAACTGAGAACATGAAATGGGCACAGCTGCAGCACTGCAGTGTGCAAAAGTGGGGCACTATATGGTGCATTAGCACAGAGCTGAATTCTGCTGTCATTAATCAGGCCCTATCGAGAAGGGAAGCAGTGAGGCTTCTGCCTGCATGAAGAAACCCATATGATTGGCCTTTAATACACAAGAATTCATTTAAACTTTACTGAATTCGCTGAACTTTATGAACTCAGAGTGGTTGCTCAGGTCCACATTAGTGGTGATCAGGCTGTAAATGATAATATGCCCCAAAGAAGCTCTTAACTCTTACTGCTTTTCTTTTATTTTTCTCTAATTCACAGTTCAGATGGTGAGTGCTTCTGAAGCCTGGCATGTTGTTTGATGTTTAAATGCAAGGAACATATGAAGAATTGTCCTGAATTATTATCATTTACAATGAGGAAGTGAACTTTTATGGAGGTTCCAAAGCCTTTCTGTACTCAGGAGCTGGAATGATTTAACTTTGTTCTCCCTTCACATTGATGTAGCTTCAAAACCACCCAACGGGAAGTGATGGTTATAGTGTTGTAAAACTGGTGGAAATAACAGGATTATTTTTGACTAACCACAGGGTTTCCATGTCAGGAATTTGAACAGCCCAAAATCAGTCTGCCCTCGGATTTGTTTTACCTTTTAGAAGAAATGACTGAATAATATCTTTAGGGCTTATACATGGCATTATGGTGCAAAGCCTGAAAGAGTAAGTGGAAAAGACAAAAGGCAGGCAGGGGGAGCAATCTGTCAGCCAGAGAGACCTCTTCAAACCAAACCTGGTATTTCTTCAAGTTAGGAAAAGGTATTTGTCAGTCAGATGAAGGGCAGGACCTGGGGGAGCCATCCTACCCAGCATTATGCTGTCTGTAAATTTTGGAGCCACCAGCAGTTGTAATTTGAGAGAAAACCCCTAAATGTTCATTGCAAACTTCACTTCATTATCAGTCATCCTAATTTCCCGCTGCAATACTGACCTGGAGGAGGGAAAGTCCACTCTCCTTCCACCTCTCTAGGCTGGAGCAGCTCCCTGGAGCACAGGATGGGTATCCCCAAGGTGCATGTGGAGCTCAGGTGTTGGTTGTACCCACAGCCACCCCCCGGTTCTTGCTGCTGGTGGCATCTTCTCAGCTCTCTAAACTGGTCATGAATCACTCAAAACTCTTCAAAACACTCGGTTTGGAAGGTACCAAGTTTCCTGTCTGCAGTTCTCCCAATATCTGTTCAGTATCGATGTATTTTTTTCCTGTCTGTGAAAATAATGGCAATGTTGCTCACAATTTAAACATGGAAGTGTGCTACATGCATTCAAGGTGTTCTTTCATACTGAGCCTTTGTTAATGTCATTATTCATAGGAGTCATTGTATGGAAAAGAGAAATTCCAATTTTGCTGGGCTTGCTTTTGGTCTGGTTCCACAAACACTGTTAGAAAACACTGAATGTCTTTTATTTCACGTTAATTGAAGTAACCATGACAACGTGACACAATCTATTTCCTTTAACGTTGAACAGTGGTAAAATTGGAATTGTTTTGGGTCAGTTCACAATTTGCATCAGAAATAACCTTGCCAGTGGTTTGGGCTGGTTTATGCTCAGGGTTTTCAATTCTTCTTTCACTTCTTTTTCAAACGGTCACTTCTCTGCTGAACAGATCAAGTGTTAATGATGTTTGAAAGGGGTTTTTTTTTTGGACCCACGTAAGACTTAATAAAACCATAATTTTGCATTTTATTGCTTCAGCGGGGAAAAACTGTTAATTAGGAGTGGCATGGTAAAGAAAACTGCTTTTTGGCTCTGCCTACCAACTGGTTTATTCTGCTTATAAACAATGGGTCCCAGTTAATGACTAGACCATACTGTATTTACTAGCTACCGTCAGGCATTCCCAGACCTCGTGGTTTTATGTCTGTGAAACACTTGCATATTATGATCTCACCTCATGATACAGAATCTCTCTATTCAAGTTTATACATGACGTGGAAAGTCTCTGAGATGCACTCTGAGGTGCAAAATTAGTGTAATTCCCCTGGAATGAAGGAGACGTGCCAACTTCTACCAAGTGGAGCTCTGGCCCACAATGTCTCAAAGACATTTGCTTTTGTCTAGAAAACAAGCAAACAAAGGTTCTTCATTTCAATGGAAAGCAACACTTATGTCTCTCCTTGCTCTAGAAAAGAAGGAGATCAAAGATGGCACAAACTCTTCTTGCAAGGCAGTGTTTCACTTCCAGACAATTAATATGATAGTATCAGGGAAATGGAAATCTATTCCCTGCTTAGGTGGTTCCCCTCATGGACTGGAAAACTACTGGGTTTATCATTTTCTGTCTTTAGGCAAAAAAGGTAACTCATATTTGCATGTTTGTCAGTTTGTGCTTGAGAGTACAAGATTTACTTAAAAACAAGCTCAGCCAGCTAAATGAAATGCCAGTGGTCTTATTATCCTGAGAGAGCAAAGCACTTAAGCCTGTGATTAAAATGAAGTTAATTGAATTTAAGCCTGTGCTTAAAGTAAAACACAGCCATAAATACTTCACTGAATAAATGGGAGATCATTCTCATGCTTAAATGTAAGCACTAATCCCTATTTTCCTAAAACCAAAGTTTATAGCCTTCTATCAGCAGTTCCAAGTGTCCCACCAACTAAACCTGGCACCAACACCAGAATTTTTCTGAGGAATTTGTTCAACAGAATGAAAATCAAGGTTCTGCTCATATAATAAATTACAAGACTAGGTTTGAAACAAGAACACAAATATTAAAATGTGGGTGTGATGAATTATGTACAAGAAAGGCAGGAAAGAGCTTATTTCAAGTTGAATTATGTGGCTTTCTCAGAAACACCTCCTTGGCAATCAAGAATGGAAACACCTCCTTGCTCTACAAAACCCCAAAATTCAGTATTCAGGGGGTAGTGGGAACTGCAGAGCAACTACAACTGCTCTGTGTTTTTACACCCAAGATTCTCTGCATCAGATTAGTCTTTGGAATTCCAAGTTTGGGGTTGAATTAGAAATCTCAGCTCTGAAGTTGCCACTGATATATCTGACTGATTTTGGACATGTGGCATTTTCTGCCTGAACTTAATTTTCTTTGTATTTCTAATAGGAATGCAAATGCCTTTCTCTTAGAAAGCGTAGTAAACAAACATCCATAAAGTGTTTTGCTGTCCTTTTTACCTGGACCAAAGAATTTCTGGCCTAAATCTGCTCCACTGGCGTAGAAAAATTTGTTTAATACCTTGTTTACAGCTCATTTAGAGAAGGAGAAGAATGCACATCCCATCTCATCACAGTTAAAACTCAAGTTTTGGAAAATAATTTTCCATTAGATGTTCCTCAATGGCATTCCTGTTTCAAAAGGAATTTTTTCCTATCGAAACACAACTCTTCCAATGCCAGATGATCCTCGTGCCTGGGACCATTTTCCCTTCACAGAAAATGTAAAAAAGCCATTTTTTTTCCCTGTTTAGCATGAAAGGAAGTTTCACATTATTATTATTATGCAGTTCTGGTATCCCTGGAAGAGACCAGATGCCTGTTTCAAACCACAACATTAATTGTTGTACACAGTGATATGAAAATGTGGATGACAAGATGCTCTAGGGTTGGTTCACTTGGTATCTGCACTGAGCTCTGCACAGTTGTGCTCTGCTATCCTGAAGCTTCAATGATTTAAAACTTCTCTCTTAATTATTTTTAATGTGGAATCTTTAGTAATAGTTTCTTAATGTGGATTAGAATAACTGATGCATTTTTGAAGTTTAAACCCACTACTGACTTTTTGGAAGCTTTGCTTCTGAGCATGTTGAGAAAGCCAGAGTGGTACATAAAAACAATGTCACAAGTTTTGAAGTTTTCTTACTATTAACAGATGTGTTTATGTGTGTAATTTATAAATATGTAATGATATTCGTAGTGTGGTGGAGAGGTTGAATTGGGCTATGGCACAATTTGGAAAAAATGCAGAATTTGGGATATTATAGGCAATAAAATGTGAGTGCAGTGAGAGATGAGCTCCACGAGAAAAATCAGTTCTCCTAACAGTGTGTGAAGACCATGAGTGAGTATCCAGGTGGGATCCAAGGCCTGCCTGGCTCAGTGTCCTGTCCAACAGCCAGAAAGAGGGATGCCCAGAGGAAGGATGCACACCCTGGGCAAAGAGTGATGGCACAGAACCCTCACCCAGCAATTTGCAACCAGGGGACTTCCAGAGTCAGAGATCAATGTGTTTGTGTTTAATGACCTCTAATGGCTTTTTCTTTTGTGAATTCCCCCTGCCACCGGTTTTGGGGTTTGACTTCATGTAAACATTTAATATCACAACGTTCAGTGGCAGAAATTTGAACCCCTTCTCACACTTTGGGGGAGGAATCACCTTTTTCTTCTCAAAAGCCCGCAGCTAAGTTTTCTTCCACCTCCTCCAGAACAGGAAGACAAGGAAGATGGGAAGACAACAGGTCTTCTTCCACCTTCCCTTTTCAGTTTGGGCTTTGTGCAGATGTCTGGGATATCCCTCCTCAGCTGTTTCTTTTCCAGATGGAAGAGACTATTTAAAAATGCTCTGCATGGGACCCATCTGATGCTTGGGATCACTCTGTGGACTTGTCTGCACCTCAGCCAGATTTAGCATTTCTTTCCTGAGCTGGAGAACCAGCCCTCTGCACAGAACCTGAGGTGCACCAGGAATTCCCAGCACCAGAGCAATCTTTGCTGTGTTTGCCATTCCTTTTGTAGCAATTCCTGATATCCAGTGCACTCCTTGGTGATCAAAAATTCATTCAACACCCGCGTTGAACTATTGCAAAATATAGTTCCTGAGTAAGAATACGTTAGAGAATGTAATCTTGGATGTGACTTCACTCCCATGTGTGCTACTTTATGTTTATATTTATACCAAATTTCATCTACTTTTTTATTTCACCCTCAGTATGGGGAACTTCTCCTTCAGTTCTTCACACCAAGTCCTCATGTTCACTCTCCTAGATGACTTCTTCACTAGGAGCAAGGCCTAATGATCAAACATAATCAAAATAATCTCATTATTTTAGTAAGAAATGCTTTGATTCTGCAAGCATCTAATCACATAAATTTTATTTTCTGTTTTAAGTGGTTCCAGGGGGTGCAGCTGTCAGACTATTCCTATTAACTGGACTTTGAAACCTCTGTGAGCTCTGTTGTCAACAAGACTAATCAGCTTTTACTGTGTTTAGCTCAACAGATACACAGAGAATGATCTGTCTTTTCCAGACTTGTACTCTCACTTACAAATGTTACTCTCCATTTCTGCCATCTTTGTTTATACACACACAGAGTAGTGAAATGCAAACATAGAAGGCCTGGTATGAAGATCATTCACACTTTATAATTGTAATTTTTACAGGAAAAGCACCATCATCCTAATTAAACTGCCCCATTTTGAAGTGTGTGTGTGTGCATGTGAGCATAGATATACTGTGTGAATACCTTAAATATGTGTATATACATTTTATATATATATATATTTATATATGTGTATATATATTTATATGCATATATATTTATACGTATATATATTTGTATGTGCATATATATTTTTATATATATTTATGTGTGTATATATATTTATATGTATATATTTATATGTATATATATGTGTGTGTGTATATTTATATGTATATATATTTATATGTATATTTATATGTATATATTTATTTATATATATATTTATATGTATTAGACATGCATATATACATTTATATCCATTAAATGCATTCAAATTGTGAGTTTTCTTTCTGTGCAGACAGACTCAATGCAAAGAGTCAATGCCCTGTGACTGCAGTTGTTCCCATTTTGCAAACTAGATAAATTAATCACCGAAAGGGATCAGCCTGCCCTGGCAAAGCCGGGATTTACACCGGGAAAACCCACGGACCGTAGGAAAGGCACAGCACAAAAAGATGGCTGCGTTGCATGGGACCGAAGGGAGTCATCCCAGGATGAAAGGAGGAAGCAAAAATAGACCCGACACACGAGTTTTGCAGAAAGTTTGCGGCGCGGGGATGTGAATTCTCCGCGGGCGGCTCCGGGGGTGTCACCGCCCGGACCCTCCGCTGGGCTCCTCCCCGGCCGCCACCACCACCATGAGAGGGAGAAACAGGGATCGCTCGGAAGGGAGCTAGAGGGGGAAAAAAAAAAATCCAGGGGGAGAGAACATGGAGCTGCAGTAATTGCTGGCAGGTAAAGCTGATCTCGTCCCTCGCCGCTTTGTGTTGCGTTTGCGGGTGCAGAGCCCGCCCGGCGCTGCCTTCGCTGCGCTTTGAAGCGCCTTTTGCAGCGGGGGAAGGAGTTTGGCGGAGATGGCGTCACTTTGTAAAAAGTTTCCAGATTTTACTGAGCGTCTTGTTTGTTTTCTTTCTTTTCTTTCCTTTTCTTGTCTTTTTTTTTGGTGTATTTTTTTAAAGGGGGAGGGGGGTTTGAACTATTCGTAACGCCAAGTGGGCGATGTGGCCGGGATCTAAATATACCCCTGTGCAAACAGAACCCCTGAGAGAGCGACACCGACAGCTCAGGCTATTGTTAACTTTTGGGATTCCAATTAAAGCCTGCTATGTTAAATATTTATTTAATTACTGCAGAGAGAGCAGGAATTCTCTCTGATTACACTAATGGAGTCGGAACAGTGTGGTAAGGGAGAGTTTTTCCTCCTTGCCCCCCCTTTCCAAATCTAAATAACTGTAGACAAGCACGGGCTGGAATATGAACATTAAAGAGGGGGGAAAAAAATGTTTCAGCTTTGTTTTAGGGGTTATATTTCAGTCGGGTAAGCAAACTATATTGCATGTGTTTTTCCGTGTCTACAGCTCACTCCAAACATAACATTCCAAAGGATAAAATCTGTTACAAAATAAAACTGACTTTGTGACAGCTGAACTTCTACGCCGAGTCTAAAAATTATCTAAAAGCGCCTCAAGAATCCTAAATGTCATTCCCAAGATGTGGTGAATTGTAATTAGGGCTGTGAACTATTTTAGTGGCAGTGCCTTACATGGGGCCCAGCTGAGCAGCTGGAGCATTTATGATCTTAGTTTTTACCCTTTACTCTGTGACATATGAAGGTGTTTAGACAATGATAATAATCCTAATTTGTTTCAGATTTGAAAAAAATGTGACCAAGTTTGAAAATATGTTGTTTGCCTTTTGATTTTTCCTTTCCGTGTTTCCTTTTAAAACATATGTCATAGGGCAGTGCTTAAACAGGGCAAGAAAACTCATCAACAATAGAATAATGAATGAGAAATAACATTATTATTACTGTATTACTATTTTGTGATTTTCTCATCTTACTGGTTTTTCCAAAAACTTTTCATTTTTGTTTCAGGAACGACCCAGTTCCCTCTTCTCCTAACAAAAAGCAAAGAAAGGGGGGAAAAAACCCCAAACTTCTGTGGAAATTTTGGGAAGAGAAAGCAAATAGCTTGCAACACACTGTCCAAAACCCGCACTCCACTATGCCCAAAAGCACTTTAATTTTACAATAGACATAATTATGCTTGTGTATACAGATCTTGATATGGGAGAGGAAATTATTAAACCCAACTATTTGGTCGTGAGGGTGGGAGGGGAAAAAAAAAAGTGTCCCTAAGTGTGCCACAAAATTTAAATGCAAGTTCTAAAGGCCCAGCCTCCTGTAACTTGGTGACTCTGCCAGAAATACACCCAGAAGGAGAAAGTCAGGTCCTGTGAGTTCCTCCCTGAGAAAGGCTGAGTGCTCTGCACTGCCATCTCTAATTGGTTTGTGTTGGGAAATCCTGGGGTGATAAAAGGGCTGTTAGAAAGTTGGCTTGTGAGTAATTAAGTGTAGGTCTGGCAATTAAAACCTGATTTGTTACTCATAGGTTACACTCATCTGCTGTGTCTTCTCTCAAGATACAGATAAACTCTGCTCTTTTCACTGGTCTAAGCCAAAAGTATCTGCATAATGAATGGAGAGATGGCAGCTCTGGGTAAGGTTCAGCCATACACAGCGGGAAGATTTACCTTTATTGTAACAGGTACAATTATTGTCGTAGAGCACTTCTGTTTCAAACCATTCCTTTTGCCTTTCCTTTTATTTATTTCCATAGGAAATGCTGGAGGATGTGCACCTTTCTTCATGTAAATGAAGATTTTAAAATACTGATTTTATATTTTTTCAAATGCTTCTCTTTTTCAAAAAAAATTGAATTTCTGTTTCTCAGCGTCTCTGTTTATTATACTCAACCTTCTCCATAGAGTGGGTGTAACCAGGAGAAGAATTTGGCCCATGATGTGAGCTAAATTTTCAGTGCTTCCACTATTTAGAGCTCCGTTGTGCTAAAAATAGCTTTCCTGTGGTTTTGGCCACGGAGCCACAAATGCAAGTTTTCAGAGCAGAGTTATTGTGGATGTTGGTCCCTACTGTTGCTGCAAGGAATGAGACTCCAGCTCATGACTGTCAGCAGATGGTTATGTGGAGTGTGAGGCTGAATGTTAGATCTCCTCACTGTCCCAAAGTGAGGATGTGTCCCACCCAAAGGCCTGACACATCCACAAGGGCCACGCTCAGAAGGCAGCATTTTGGCTGGGGGGGGTGAGGAACCCCAGGAAAAACTGGGTCTGTGCAGGAGATAACAGTGGAGAGCACACCCAGAAATCTCCATGTTTGGCTAACGGTGTGGAATGTAGAACAAATGGAAGGGAAGGTGGAAACCTTTGAGTCAATGAGACACAATTTTGTTCACGGCTCATTTGGAGCAGAGTTTTCGTCGAAGAAAAAAAAGCTCCCAGTGCTCACGTGGTTATGGCACCGTGATGTCAGAGTCATCCTCTTTCTGTCCTGCATTTTCTGTCCCACTTCCATGGTCCAACCTCTCTGTTGTCCACAGGAAATTGGTCTGGTTGTTGCAGACAGCTTTTGGGAGGCAGGAGGTAACTTTTTTCTGAGCTTAGTAGTGGGTGTCAGACTCCAGAAAGTGTTCTCATAATGCAAGGTCATGTTCTGGAAATAGTCAAAAACCACTGATTTAGAGGAGTGAGAGCATTCCATGTTTCTGTACTGCTGATGCAATGGTGAGGGCAAGCTGGGAATGGTCCAGAAAAATAGCAAAGCTGGAGGAATATTCAAAGGCATTGTGCCATTTGAAATTATTTTCTTTATCATTTCCTCTCTGAGAGCAGTGTAATGCTTAGTGTTAATCAGCTGGGACATATTTTCCATTCCTCTGAGAAGGTTTCCACCCCCTGTTCCAAGGAGCAGATCCCATTTAGCAGAACTGTGCCCTGACTGGGCTCTGTCCACAGGTGTCATGGATGATGGTTCATACTCTGATGTGGACTTTACAACAATTCTCAGGCGAAGGCTTGTCTTACTCATAACTTCCTGCACATCTTACTCTTCCTGCAGTCTCTTTTCCTTTCTTAAGATTTTGCCTTTTTTATGTGCATTTCAGGCATTTTTTTCTTGAGCTGTGTGTTCAGTTTTGCATCCTTAGTTGACTCTCAGCTGGATACACCATCCCTAGTATATTGACAATTTTATTCTGTAGAGTGTGAAAAGACATAGTGGAGCTGAACTTACAAAACCTTTATATAATAATGTCTTTGTTTCCAGGATGTACCATTATTCAGTTACATGTCTCATCCCATTTATTCTTCCAGTCTAGGCAGAAAAGCTTGCATCTTTAACCTTGCTGGGCATTAAACCTTTGGCTTGCCTCCCCTCCCTCCCCTGGTCTACACTTTCATGGTAACATCTTCTATCTGTAGCTTCAGGAAACAAGATTAATCCTTCCCTCCCTTTCTCTGTACTGCTGTGTGAGGTACCCAGAAGTGTGGCTGTAGCAATAACAGGGTATTTAATTTATTCTCTGAGAATTCAAAGGCTGTCACCAGTGAGTGTGACCTCACAGGAGCCTCCACCCCCGAGGGCCTTGTCCATAAGCACTCTCCATATCTTTCCTCCAGACACTAAACTTTATTTCTATTTTCTTACATATGTGATGCAAGGTACACAATGTTTGTGTTGCCTTCTTGTTGTGAGGCAGCCACTTACCACCTAGTGCTGTTCTCAGCCTGCTGTAAATTGTGGGCTCATTGCAGAGAACCAAAAGGCCGGAGCACCTCCCTCTCCTCTTGCTGAACTCTGCTCCAGCACAACACTCTTTTTCTGCCTCAAAAATAAATGTAAAGGTATGTATAGTATGTTAGCCCCTCCTTAGCCTTTCCCACCCTGAAACTTTTCAAACAGGGATGGCATGTTCCTCTCTTCACTGCCAAAAAAAAAAAAAAATAAATTCCTTTGGCAGCATTTCCCCCTTCCCCCATTTCTTCTCAGCTGACAGCTGTGAGAGTGGAACTTTCTTCAGCTATCCTATCCATTGCCCCCAATTCTGTTTTTAAGCTAGATTTGGTTCAAATATCCAAGCCATCTTTCACACTACAGGATTTTTTTAACATAAAGTGGCTTTGTAAATGCTTAATGTGGGTAGAGACATGACAACTGCTTTCGTAGATATATATATATACACACATATATATATATTTTTTTTTCTTTTTTAAATGACATTCCCCCCCCTTCCCCCAACAATTGAGAAAGCTGATAGGGAATTAAATTGAACAATACAGTCATTTTAGAAGTCATAATAAAGTCATAATAAAGCAACTTTTTTTCCAAAACTATCTCCTTATAATTGAAACTATCTATTAAGTTTTCAAACTGTTCACTTCTAACCAAACAAAAATCTCATTAAGAAATATAGGGGTCATATTCAAAACCTGGAGAGTAAAATGAAAATAGTGGAATTTAAGATCCTTGTTGAACTTCCTGTTCTCAAGCATGCAAGGCCTGATACCTTTAGGTAGTTCTTCAGTTGTTGTTCTGCACTTTGCTCAGGCTGTGAGGTTTTCACTCCCTCTGACATAAACACCTAAAGTACCTTTATGAGAACTTTACAGCTTTATGAGAAGGCAGTTTTCTGTCCTCATTGCCATCAGCCCGTGCACAAAGGAATGTAAGACAGGTACTTGTACTTTAGTTGACTTTACAAGGCAGGACCCAAAGTATAAACATGTGCAGTTGCCTCTGCAGAACCCAAACACAATTTAATAATTAAAACATTCAGGGGAGGGGAAGGTTAGCTAGTCTTTTTTCCGTGGATTATCCCAGCTGCTTGTCCATGTGTTGGGAAATCTAGGTTTGATGCTGCTAAAATAGGATTGAT